CATATGAATTGATCGACAAAGGAGTTCCAATTTTTCTAGATTCGATTTCCAAATTTGGTAATAATCCTGACTGCAATCAATTTGGAGTCAGTTCTTAAATAGGATAAAATAGAAACCTGTTTGTAAAACTAAACTTGCAAACTTATTTTTTCATTTCGTTGAACAATCCACAAATAACAACTATATATAGTATGAAAGTTTTCTTTATTTTTCCTTTTTTTTTTTTAAAAAAAAATAAAATTAAAAAAATAAAATATTAATTTATAAAAATTTATAATTATAAAAAAATGGCTAGTCGGCAACAACAAAGTCAAGAAGATGATAATCAACAATTTCAATTAATTCCTGATCCCAACCAAGTTCTTCAACCAATTCATAATTACGATCAACAACAACATAGTCTACAACAATTCCAACCAACTAATCACGAGGCAACTTTTATTGGGCAGCATAATCCAAATGACAGCAACAATAATAATTTATTACAACAGCAAACACTTTATGTTACACAATATCCAACCACATCTTCGGCTACAATTTATAATGGTGATCACTTTAATTCATCTAACTTTATTAATAACAATAATAACGATAATGATCCTTTAAGTTTAAGAATTTCTCGCCGAATGATGATGATTAAAGATTGTATCATGGAGATGCAACAACAATATATTTTACTGGAACAAGATTTCGTCAAGTTAAGACGCGGCGGGTAAAAATTTTTCATTATTTATTTATAATTTTTCTTTAGTATTAAAGAAAAATAAACGAAAAGCAATTTGTAAGGAAGGGCAAATAAAGAATTTATTATTATTATTAAATGAAAAAGTTTCCATTGAATATTATATATACAAAATGAGAAAAAAAGAACAAAAAACCAAAAATTTAAAACTTTCTCTGTTATTTTTTCACTCTGAATCTCAGTATATCCACCATTCTCTTTTTCTCTCACAAAAAAAAATCAATTAATTGACAACTGAGTAGCTGATAAGAAAATATCTACTTTAGATTGATCACCAGAAGTTACGATATGATGATAATTCCTTAATAAATTATCTACATCTTCCATACTTTGAGGTCTAATATCGGCCAATTCCTTAATTTTAGTTGTAACCTTTTTAACTTGTTCATCTGTTAAGGTTAAATCCAATTGTTCAACACGATTCTTAACTGCATTCCAACCGGTTAACCGATGTCCAATTGATACATATCTAGTCATACTATATATAATAATAATTCATTTTTTTAGAAAAAATAATAAATATATATAAACATATTTATTTAATAATAAATTGCATGACTTTATAATAACGTACCCAAAATCTTCAGGTTTCAAAATCTCATAAGTACTTGGATTATTTAATATAGCTTTAGCATGTATACCAGCTTTATGAGTAAAAGCACAATAACCAGTAATGTAATTGTTAAATGGAACCTCCACACCGACTGAATCTGCTACCAAATTTTCTAAATCTCTTAACATGTGTAATTTATATTTGGATTTAATATAATCTTTATTTGCTGTATACATTCTTGCAATCAAACCTCCAAGTGGTGTGATACCATTACGTTCTCCAATACCTAAAATTGATGTATCAATATGTGTCGCTCCTGCTTCAAGTGCTATTAATTTTATTTATTTTGGAGGAGGTGAAAAGTAAAAATCGGTTAATCAATAATTATTCTTAATAATAATTGTTATTAATATTATCATGACTATTACTATAACGACAACTAACTACAACAACAACGACGATGATCTTTTAATTACCAGCATAAGCATTAGCAATAGCACATCCAGTATCGTTATGAAAGTGGCATTCAATATCACAAGAAACAACACCTCTAAGGGTTCTGACTAATTCATAAACTTGTCTTGGATTTGCACATCCGACTGTATCAGCTATGCCAACTCTGTTAACACCCAATTTATCCACTGTCCGATAAATACTCAATAAATCCACTAGATCGCTACGAAATGAATCTTCTGATGAAAATCGAACTTCAATTCCTTTGGATTTAACAAATTGTATCACTTCAGTTGCCTTCTCTGTAATATAATCCATATCTTTGCCGTGACTAAATTCCCTTAAATATGACGAAGTACCAATCACTACATCAACTCCATCAACACCTTATAAAAAAATTATTATAATTATAATTATAATTATATATATATATATACATACATACAAATATAAATGATTCATATTAAATTGTTTATTCATATTTACCTGTTTCAACAGCAATTTTAGCATCATCCATATGACACCGTATATGAGTCAATATTTTTGCTTTCAATCCTAACTTACAAATTGCTTGGCAATCTTGCCTTGATTGTTCAGATGCAGCCGGTGATGTCAATTCAATATATTCTACTCCAAATGTATCTAACGCTTTAGCAATTTCTATTTTTTTCTTTGTATCAAAAAATGCATTCGCAAATTGCTCGCCCTCTAAATTTTTTTCGTAAAAATTAATTTAAAGCTTAAAACAACCCCTAATAATGATAATAAAATACTAATCATATATTTATTTACCTCTAAGAGTTGATTCGATAATAGCAAAGTTATGAACTCTGCTTAATAAATCAGCATATCTTGGTGTGTACGGGTTGTTGACTATTGCTGAAGAATTACTGTTGTTGTGGTGGTTATTGTTGTGGCTATTACCATTATTATTTGTATGTAGAGTTTTATTTTTATTGCTATGACCGTTTGTTGTTGCCATTTTACTCAATTTTTGGTGTTTTTTTATTATTATTTTTTATTATTATTTTTTGTTATTATTTATTATTATTATATTATTTGTTGTTTTTTAATTTTCGTGAGAAATTTCGTAAAAAAGAAAAAACACTTCTTTAAGTAGCAAGGATTCTTGTTCTATAGATGAAAAAAAATCAAGATTATCATTTGATTAAACCCCTCTAATGTTGATTTAAATATTGATAATAATAATAATGATCATTGTGTCACGACAAAAATAGGCTGTGTTAATTGTGTAAATTTAAATAAAAATTGATATTAATATAAAATGTGTCAAGTTAAGTCAGAATATTTTTGTGTCCATTAATTAAAAAAACCACAATCAAGTCATAGTAGTAATTACTATGATGAATAGCGTGAATCAATTGATTTTATTTGGATATTGAGGCTAAGTTGAGGCTGAGTTGAGGTTGAGTCATTTAAAGCAATGTTTGATCAAAATATCCAAAGTTGGCAAGTCTTCAAGAGCATTTTTTTAATGTAACATTACCTAAAAATATATTATTATGTTTATTATTATGAAGAAATAAAATTAGAATAATGCAGTTTTTAATTTTGGCTAATATAATAATTTCAAACAGCGATTTAATCCATACCAAGACAGTGTGTAAATCTTGTGGAAACATGGAAAACGCGTAAAGGAACAAACATGATAAATATTTAGGGATGTTAACAGTCCATGTCCAAACTGAATGGAGTCGGTCTGGTCTTAGGTATCAAAGACCGTTGAAATTTTTTTATCATAAAAGCATTAATTTCTATTTGTTAAAATATTATTTATTATCATAAATTCCAAATTATTAGTATATTCGAAAAAAAAAAAGTTTTATATAATTCAAAATTCCATTCCTTGTCTCTATGAATGCCCATTCCTTCTAAAATCCAGGTAATACAAATTCTTCGAAATATTCGTTTATTCGAATCATTTGTTTTATTCGAATTACTTGATTACTTGATTTACTCGTTTTATTTTTTATTTTTATTTTATCTGTTTTTCCGAATTGCTTGATCTATTCGAATTACTTGATTTATTAGTTTTATTCGAGTCATCTGTTTTATTCGAGTCATTTGTTTATTCGTTTATTTGTTTCATTCGAATCATTTGTTTTATTCAAATTCCTTGCTTTATCCCTTTGTTTGTTTATACACTCTAAGTCTGGACCACGGTCCGGTCCTTTGATTAGATTGACGGTCTTTGGACCCTATAATAATAATAAATATTGTCCAAAGTCCTGTTCCCTGTTCCTTGCTACTAATTCTTATTGGCTGATTATAAGGAATACTAGAAATGATTTCCAAAAAATTTTACTGAATAAGGTTAAAAAATGAAATTGAGAAAAATTTGGTTCAAAATAAAAAGTAACTTCTACTAAAATGGCAGTTTCTTCTAATAATGATGACGAGTAACAACAAACCGTTTATCCGATCGATTCAAAGGCAGATTCTTCTGCTAATAAATCACATTCATCATAATTTAATAGCGGGGTTTTACTATGTAAATCATAATTCAGTACAAAAATATATACAAAAATAGAGTTTTGGGAACCAGGGGATTTTTTACCTAATAAGTATTGTACAACATGGAACAGGAGGAGGAATTGAACACCCCTCATTTGTGTGTAACCTATGTAAATTTTATTTTCATATAATTGAAAAGTTAAAAAAATGGCATCGCCTGCAACTGGTAACAATAGTAGTACTAATACTTTTACAACCACATCTGCTACAACCGTTGCAGATGCAACAATACAACAGTTAGAACCTCCACCGAAAAAACTTGATAAAGGAAAAGAGAAAATGACTACATTCCAACCTGACTACTCCACAAACAATCCTTTTTAAAAAAATCGATTATATGCAAAGGATCAAGAAAACTTTCTTGCATGGTTGCCTACTACATCTATTGGAGAATCATAAAACATATCGCCGTTGGGAATCTTGAAGTAATCAATCAACAGCGTAATAACAAATTTATGCTCGTGTTTGGGCATATCGACAACGAATATGTCACCGTTACCTTTTCGTTGAAACTTGTACTCAGAAGACTCTTGACCTTCAAGGAAATCTTGCATATAAATTTTCACCGGTATCCTCAAGACAACCTGAAAAGGCAAATTGCAGCCCATAAACGTTAACACCGGGCGAATCTTAGCATATCTTGTTGCATCCACTGTCCTCTACTGGAGGCTCTTTTGGTAAATTTGGCAATTGGAATTATTCTTGACCGGATTAATAAATTTGTTCTTGACGAAACATTTGAGAAAGTAAAATGGGGATCTGGTCTCTTTGAATCTCGAGCATAAGATAATCATTTTAAGGTTGTCGTACCATAACATTCCATGCATTATAATTCAGGGTCATCATGTAAATATTTAAGAAGATAATAATAAACGTCGAGTTGCATGGGAGGCAAAAACTCGAAAATTTAGGGCAACTAATAATGGTCAGATTTAAGGCTTGATGATTACTCTATCCTTTGGCTCAATGTGGTAAAAAACTATCGTTATTAATGATAATTTCGTTGTCATTATCGTTATCATTATCATTATCATTATTGCTAAATATGATTTTTCTTTAGTTTTTAAGCTCAACCCAAGCCTTGATTGCATCTATTGTTTCAGAATCAGATTTTGTTGTAAAATTTCCACTACTTTGTATCAGATTTCTTTTTCTTTTTTGAGATTACTTATGGCATCGTTAATCATATCAGATTTAATTATATCATTTCGATTGCACAATTAGGCTATTTCTTTAAAATTTGCTTTCTTGATATTGGAAGCAGGGATGGGCAAAGGATTGGGTTGGCTGTAAAGTGGATTAAAATTATGGCAATAGCAAACAAATATATATATCAACATAAATGGTGTGTTAACACTCCCTAGACAAAAGCTTCAGTCAATAATTGCACATAATGAAAGTTATTTCATAGCTTAGGTTCTCAAGAATTTGCATGTAAAATTTTAAGTTTCTGCTGTGTCCACGAAAACAACACCCATCTCTTCAAAGATTATTTTCTTCAGAAAGCGTATTTAAATCTACTTGGTATTTTAATTTTTTTCAAAAACAAAAACGTGTAAATTATATATTAACATTGATTTAGTGTTAAATTATAGGGAATCATTTAAACACGTTTTGTAGAAATTAACCAGAAATTAAGCATCTAAAATTTTTGTAGGGAGGGATAGGGCCTTTAGCAATTTTGGACAGGATGTTGGATATTTTATGGATTAAAAATATTTCATATCCATGTGGTAATTTTAATTGATTCATAAAATATATATTGGATATCTCTTTTTCTTCGCTATTTTATATCATTTCAGCGATTAATTGATAAATGATATTTACATTAGAAGGAATGTTTATAGTGTCCTTTTTATGTTTTAAATGAAAAAAATAGGAAAAAAATTTTTGACATATAGATTTCTTTAAAGAGAAGGAAACGTTATTTTATTTTTAATTAGCGTAATAAAAATAAAATCAACTTGTATTCGATTGTTTTAGCAATTTATATTCAAAATAATTAATCAGACGACTTCGTGCATGTGAATTTAAAGTCCGATTAAAGTTTTTTAATAATAATTACAACTGATATATGATTGATTTGGTAATTATTATTGAAAAAATTATTCCGGTAATACGCGTAAACATTTTGTCGATCGCCAGATGTTAATATTAACGATTGTTCTTGGAGGAAGATTGTGTAATTGATGGTCAGTCTAATTTTTCCATCTAAAAATACATAACATCTGACAATATATACAGTTCACACATATATGTTTGTTCTACAAAGAAATTAATGATAAAAACATTGAATCGAGGAAAAAATTCTTTATAATATCTGGTATTATATTATTTATTTATTATTAATATAATTTTGCACAATCGATTAACATCCCCTACTTCTTCTAATAAAAATAAATCATTGACTTCTTTTTCTTAAGGAAAAACAAATCTGATCAAATATAATAATAACAAAAAGTTCGTCCAAAATGTGATATTGGAATACGAGTATATATAATGTCGATCTTTTCTGGTCCATTCGCCATTCAGATTGTAATAATGAATGATTGTTAGGTTTTGTTGTTTCTATATTATTATTATTTTCAGTCTCTGTGTGATACATAATTCGAAGCGTGCTACCTAACTATATTCAATATAAAATCATTCAAATCAATCAATCACAAGTAGAAAATATCCACCTTTAAATAATTATTTATATACTCCATCTTGAATAACCATCTTCACGACATTTAATATATTATTATTACTTTATTAATTAACAATGATTGTAATTAGTTACACTAAAGAATCATCGCTCAAACCTACTACATTGAATTATTGAAACTTGTCGCATAGTTTTAGATACATCAAAAGGCGTAGCAATCAATGCTGAAAACTAATTTAATATATATAACACAAATTGTTAGCATATATATTTATATCTCTTTCTCAAAATTGAATGTATGTTTTTTACCTACATCACCAGAAATATCACCACTCAAAAATCTAACTTCAACATTGTTGACTTTTTCGTCATGATTATTTTCATGTAGATAATTTTTTATGTACCATTCACAAATTCATAGCCAGCCCAATAAATTGCTAACATAGATAAATATTTATAAAATTTATATATAGTGCAATAATTCTTTTCAAAAAAAAATACCAAAAAATGGTACACCTAGATTTCAGACCACACACCATAATGATGAAATACCATTGTTGAAAATCATTGTTTGTACACCATTCAATACTCCTCTCAAACCGTTTATACTTTCAGATCCTTGGGATTTGATTCGAAACGGTTCTAATTGTGATATTATTGATGCAGAAGTAGCTATACACACACATGATAATAAAGATAAAGATTGGAATCTTAACATTTATCATGTAAAAATTTTACTTTTTGGTGTAGCTCCTGCAATTAATGGTGAATAAACTTCGGAATATTTTCCTTTCCAATTTGCCCATAACTTGTCTATTGTATGATCATAACCTATAAATTATATCATTGTTACTGGTACAGACATTGCTCTAAAATGTGCATATATATATATAAATAATATAAAGTCATGCAATACATGATCATATAAAATCATTCATTCAAACTAACAGTGATGGTGATAGACCTCACCATAATCCCCTTAGA